ATTAGTTGAAATCCCTACCAATTGTTGTCTTTCAACGTTACCCTTCTTCCGAGGCAAGGCATATAATCTGAGCTCTGTGAAATAACACAATGAAATTCAATCAATTCGAGTTTCCCCCTTATCACAATTCTTCCCTACTAAGGGTTATCACGAAGCAGTTCATAAGTGATCACTTCTTTCTTTTGCTATTATCTGCTTGCCTAAATGATTAGCAGTGATTATGGTTGGAGTGGGTCGTCTACAGAGTGACATTAATCTGTCCATGTTTGTTTATTTTTTGGTTAGTTTCCATTGAAATGGAGATAAATTAGCCTAGTCATAATTACACAATTCAATTACTTGGAATGTTGTTAAGTTATTATATGAATGCTGCATAGAAATGGTTCTCGAAGGAGGACGAAATGGAGCCTAGATTTGCTTGGCTCGCCTAAAGGAATGATCAACCTCTAAAAAGGGACTTTGTGTCATTAACAAGCGAATTGGGCCAGCTTTTGGCTATCAATGGCACCTTCAAAAAGAAGTTTCTTGCTGCAATATTCAAGTCTTCAACTGAAGAGGGGAGTTTTGAGGGTGAAGGATTGGATCTATGATTGATTTGAATAGTAGTTCAATGAAGCTAGGAATCAACTTCTATTTTAAGGAGATCCACAGCCAATGTTCGTGAGTAAAGAACAATGCCAAGATGGGCAACCATCTTGAAATGAAGGAATAAAGATTGGTTTACGGAATAAAAAGAGGGGAAAAGCAAAGAAGGTGCTAGAAGAGAACAGCAAAAAGAAAGTGAGGAGTTAGTCAAAACAAAGGACAAAAGAGAGGTGTTAGGCTTACAGAAATCTTCAGTAGACTGTTCAGTGTTACAATAAATGTTGATGCTTAGGCTCTCTTCTCACACTGCAAAAGAAATAAATGTGTTTGTTTGTTCCATTGGATATTGCAGCCAGTCAGCCACCAGATTCTCTCATCCCTACTTTTCTGCCACAGCGTGTCGACTGTTTACTGCTCATTCACTTGAGGGCCCAGCTTCTTCCTCACAGCCTTTTCTCTCCCCATTCAAAAGCTAATCTAAATGATTTTCTGCAGGAAATGTTTCATCCCTTTTCTTTAAAATGTATTAGCATCCTAATCACTGCATTTGGCTTCCCTTGAAGTTACTATAATTACATAATTCTGTACGTTGTTGATGTCATAGTGGCAAATATTTGCAGCAGAAGAACGAAGATGGAGACTGAATTAACCATTTGTGTAAGGGTTTATATTAACGATTTGATACTAAAATGCTTGCTTCATCACTTATGCTTTTAAGTACAACATATAAAAATCCTCTCATCTTCACTTCACTTCTCCTTAGGATGATTTAGAGAAACTTTTCATTTGTCGATCTCATGTTTTTTGAACACGTCTACTAAGGAGAGGTTTCCACACTTACAAAAAAATGCATCATTCTCCTCTCCAACCGATGTTAGATCTCACAATCCACCCCTCTTTGGGGCCAGTGTTCTCACTGATACTTGTTCCTTTCCTCAATCGATGTGGAATCTCCTCAATCCACTCTCCTTCAGGGCTAGCGTCTTTGCTGGCACACTGCCTCGTGTCTACCTCCTTTGAAATTCAGCCTCCTCGCTGGCACATCGCCAGGTATTTGACTTTGATATCATTTGTAATAGCACAAGCTCACCACTAGCAGATATTGTCCTCTTTAGACTTCCCTTCTGGACTTTCCCTCAAGGATTTTAAAACGCATTTGCTAGTGGGAGGTTTCCACACCCTTATAAAGAATGCTTCGTTCTCCTCCCCAACTGATGTGGAATCTCACAATCCACCTCTCTTTGGGGCCCATCGTCCTTGCTGGCACACCGCCTCGTGTCCACCCCTTTCAGGTTCAGCCTCCTCGTTGGCACATCACCTAGTGTCTAGCTCGATACCATTTGTAATGACCCAAGCCCACCGCTAGCAGATATTGTTTTCTCTGTGCTTTTCCTTCCAAACTTCCCTTCAATATTTTTAAAACGTGCTTATTAGGAGGAGGTTCCCACCCCTTATAAAAAAAATGTTTCATTCTTCTCGTGAAATATGACACAAATTTTCATCGATAAAGGTTATTTTTTCAAGCATATGCATTATAATTTATATGTATGAGTTGAATATCATAAAAACTGTTTGTAATATGCATACAAAACCATGACTTCACCATCTCAAGCTATGGGCTAATCTAAGAAAGAATGAAAGATATAGCTGTTTGAAATATGAGCCAAAGTTATCACAAAATTTCAGTCAAGGGTTTGACTTGAGTGAATACATATCCCACAGAATCTAACTTTATCCCTTCCCATGCCCCTAACTTTGACCACATTCTACACAGGTGAGAGATCCTAACATCAACCATCATTCTAGCATTAACCTGATCTTGGATCAAAACTAACAGCTTCTCCTTGACCTAAACTGCATTCAAAAAATTCTTAATCTCTACCCATTTACCATAATGTGACTAATCATTTGTCTCTTAGATAAGTTCGGTTCACGATCGGTCCATAGCCAGTATGTGCGTTACAGCATTGAGAAGACATTTCTCTACTACGAAAGGACCCGAAATAACCATCTTTGGCGTATCAGTTATCATGTCAAAAACATCAAATTTTTGTGAGTTCAAAACTTATTGTGCTTTTGTTCTTCAATATTTGAAATTTAAGGGACTCTAGTTTTGTAGGATTTCCCTTTTTTGTCTATTGCTTTCTGTTTTCACACAGTTTTATAGCGTAACTTCAGCAAGCTTTTAGGCTAATACTGTAAAACTCACCTAATACTCCATATGCTGATTTTTCAATTTCTAACCATGCGTCATCATTGCTCAAGAAAAAAAAAAAAAAAAAAAAAAAAAATT